CATAGAAGTTCTTTGATAAAAGCCATTCTGTTTGAATACCTGAAAATACGACTGTACTATGCAGGTAAAGTTGAAACAGAAAAACTTCAGAACAAAAACGTACGTAGTGTTAACACAAAAATTACACTTTTTAAGGGACAATAATATTTTAAGTTTTATTCAAGTCCTGTATTTTTAAAAATAAAAGCATGTATTTTTAATTTGTAGTTTTTATTTTACATTTTATGTATTCATTTTTAAAAGTAAATATCACATTCTTTATATATCTATAAAGATTTCAATGGTTCGACAAGCTAATTTTTTAAAAATATATACCATCTCCAAAAATAATAATAATAAATAAAAAAAGTTTGATAAGTCAAATTTTTCATATCAGAGCCATATATAGGGTGCAACAAACAACGGTGCAAATAATTTAAAGCGATTATTAAAAATATAGATAAAATATTCAGGAAAAAAGAGGTTATTATTATTGTATTTCATATTATTATTGCATTATTGTATTTCATAAAGTTATTCATGTAGTATATAACAATAACTAGTTTCTATATTTTGGCCAAATTGTGTGTTTTTGTTTTAAAAAGCTCATTACTTATTCACATATCAAAAATAAGAAATTTGGAATATACTTGACTACCATTTTGAGTAGGTGATTTTTAGTACTTGTTCTTGATATACTTTAGAATAAATAATTTTAATAAATAAAATAAAGCATTAATCCACTTAAAATAAAAATATACTACTTTGTATGAACACCAAACTTTTAAAATATGAGCAGGACATGCTTTTCAATCGAAAAGCTTTATTTCTTCATCAGATGCAAGTTGGATCCTTTGCAGCTGGTGAAGAGCGAAAACTTTTTATTCAAAACGTGCGTTCTGCTCACGTTTAAAAGATTAGTGTTCATGATAAGTAGTATATTTTTGTTTTACTTAATTTTTGAGTGTTTATTTGTAATTAAGCCACTTACTTTATAGTAAATACTATATTTAAATGCACATTTTCATAATGTGTTTATTTAATTGGGATACAGGAATAAAATAGAATATGTATTGTCATGTTTGAATTTATAATTCAGAAAGAAAATTTTATTTTGAAAATGTACATTTTACAGCTGATCTGCAAAATATGAAATCTTACTAAATTTAATGTACAGTTAAGGCAGTAGCTTCCAAGTTTGCATGAAATTATTTTCTGGACATTGCTGAATTTATAAGCACTTTAATATGCAAGTAACTGAATAAAATGGGCATAATCAATTACTTAATAAAGATCTTTTTAAAAATAAAAAATTCTTTACTATCCTACATTTCCATAATGCAAGTACTATTGCTAACACCGAGAGGTCAAAAGTAAATGAAATTCTTCCAAAAACTATTTCTGACTTTAAATTAATTAAAATTATGTTTACTTAAATATATGAAAGTAAAATATTTTTCTTTAATATTTTACTTTCATATATTTAAGTAAACATAATTTTAATTAATTAATTCAGTATAATTTATCTTTTTGTATCATAAACTATATTAAGTTTGGACAGTAATAGTTTATAGTTCCAGCTGAAAGTCAACAGTCTGTAAGTATATATTTCATCAATGGCATAAATACATGTAATACAATGTGATTTTCTTTGTCTCTTTAGGATGCAATGCATTAAAATTAAACGAGATTTTTTTACCTTCTCAAATATTATAACAGTAGTGCAATTAATTTTTTAACGTTATTCAAATTAAAGTTTCCATCTCATTTTTTATTATTTATTTTAGATTTTCTTCCTAAAATTATTTAACCTAAACATCTTAAACAATGGTGCAAATAATTTAAAGCGATTATTAAAAATATAGATAAAATATTCAGGAAAAAAGGGGTTAAGTTATATCTAAATATAATTGTAAAAAATCGAACAACCTAATTCGAGGTCGTTGTCTGCTGACTGCTAGGAGACGGAAATAAAAAGCACTACTTGCCATATCAAAAGCGGGCCAAACTGGCGATGAACAGTCTAAGCTATCACTCCCCAAGAGCGCCAAGAGCATTAGTCACGTGGTATATGTTGGAGACATCCTAGCAGACGAATTCTCTGTGGGTGAGCCGTCTACCTGTTATAAGAAGTCGTTTTTGACATGGTGGGGAGGGGCCTCCGCGCTAAGGGAAGCAGCTTTGAAGCTTGGGTCACCAGACGTTACATTCAAGCTCGCTTGAAAATTCTGATAGTATTTCGACACACGACAGTTCCATAGAAATCGAAAAAGGGACACTCTCGCATGAAAGAAACAGTCATAGTGTGATGGATAATAGCAATTTGTATAGTTTACTGACATTTACGCAAAAATCGCATCTTGGTTATTTTTCGATAACTAACAACAGCGATTTTGATTATGAATTTGTTTTATAAAATTCTAAGCTGTTGCACTACAAAAATATAGATTTTAAGAAAATTGCTAAAACAGATCTGCCAAAATTTATTTTCTAGAAGATTTGAAAAGTTTGAAACTTGATGGCTAAATGTAAATATAAAATTATGTATGTTAAAATATTTGTAATTAGGCACATAGGTCAGATTAAGTTTTTATTAAATAGAGTAACGCATGCAAGGGCTATCTGCCTAAAGAAGAGAGATGCCATCGTGGAGGAATTTTGAAGAAAAACTGACCTTTGAGTGGGTATTAAAAATAATACTTATAATTTTCATTCAAATTATATTCATATATATTTTTTATGTAAAACTTTCGGGTGTATGCTAAATTAGTGTAAATTACTTTACACGAAAAATATAGTGAATGCACAGAAATTAAAGATTTGCACATGCCGGAAATGATAAATAGGAAATATGTATGGATATTTATGCATGTGCTTGCAAAAAGCATGTATCTGCCTTTGACAAAATACTTAAATATTCATTAAATTATTTATAAATGTATTTGAAATGAAGAATTTATTCACTTATAAACAACTGTGATAGTACTGTGAAGAAATCTAATGATTAAATGTATCTAATTTATAATGATTATAAATGTTATCTAAATATATAATAACCTTAATATTGAATTGTAAACATATATTGAAATCCTGTTGACAAATACGTTATAAAACTATTTAGGCAAGAATTGTTCGTATTGGAAAGCAATCTGTTAAAAGGTATTGTAAAGCAAATGCTATGAGATGCGCACTTAAGAACGTAATAAAGAGTTTTTTAATATGTATTGTTGAAATGAAGGGTAAAAAAAAATCTGATAAGTATAATTAAAAGAATTATTCCCTTTACATTTTAAATAACTCAGTTACAAGTTTTAAATAATACCTAAAAAAAAAAAAAAAAAAAAGAACTTATTTTATTCCCTTTCAGAAATGTTCAGAGAAAGTCACATACTATTTTTCCTAATAATTCTCTAATTTAAAAATGAACCGAATAGAGCATTAATTATAAATTGACTTACATTTTTCGATTTAAAAGAAGCCAAAAAATCATGTCATATTTAAGAAAGTATTTTAGGAAGAAGCTCTATAAATAGAAAAGAAATAATGCATAATTTTAATATTAATAATACAATAAACTTTGATCTTAATTTTTGTACCTTAACCGAATAAAATCGAATTACCTTAATTTTTTTTCTAATGTAATTAACGAAAACTTGTGAAAATATTTCATTCAAATTAAACCATTCTGAGAAAACTGTCCTGCGAAAAGTATAGCATTTAATTCCATTCAGAATGAAATGTTGTTTAAAAATATGTTGTTTTCACATACTTAGGACTCTGAAGTGTTGTAGAAAAAGAAAATATATACATTTATATGTATATTTGCGACGTAATTACAAAATATTTACACCCGAACGCGTCAAATCCCATAGAACTCAATGGTAAATGAACCAATGTTTTGGTCACCACGTAGGGATCGCCGGTGCTTCAGAGCAGGGTACGGAGAAACTTGTTTAGGGCGACTCTATCTTACTTCCTACCTCCATGGTTGACATCGTCGTCCTATGTTTTCCTTCCTTCAAGAAGATGCATTTTATTGGCTGGGATGGCACTAGAAGAAATCATCTGAACTTGTGAGGCATTTAAGTAGTAAATACAGATGAGCCCAGGTTTTTTTTTTTTTTTTTTTTTCTTTTCTTTTCTGGTTATGTTCTGAACATTCAACTAAAAGAAAAAGAAGTCTAAGAATGATGCCGGAGATTAATTCCTGCTGACATCTACGGCTACATGTTTTAGTGTGATTGAAAGATTAGTAATATTTAGCGTGATTATATAACTCTTAATGTAAGAAGTTATTAATAATTGCCTACATAACTCTTAATATAGGAAATAAAACACCACATACTTTGTTTGCTCAGTAAAAGGTACGGTGAGTTACTTCATTATTCAAAACACCAGATCAAAAATTTACCGAATTTAAATTATATTTTTACCACAATGAATAAGAAATTTTAAATTATCACAAATAATGATAAAATATGAAACCTGATATATAATTAATATATAAATATCAATATGCTAAATTTAAAATAATACTGAAATAGCTTCAGTAGTATTAAACAACTTTTACAAAACAGTAAAAACATTTTTACTTTAGAACTTATAAAACATGTAGTAAACTTGTACTAAAATTTACATTAGAAAACTTTATGGTTTCTCAGATAAAATATTCAATAATCTATAGCCGTGTAATTTTATAACTTCAAAACAGAGTAAACCATACCGCAGTTAAAATCATTTACACAATCATTCGTGCCATATACTAAAAATAATTGCTTCATTATTGAATAAAAGTAAACAGCAATTTAAAAAAAAAATTCAGATGGCCCTTTAGATCAGGAATTATTATTAGTTGACTCTAGAGCTCCGAACTCTCCCATTAGAAATTTAAAAAGAAATATTTATAAACCTATGTCACAAAATATAGTATTTGTTTACCAAATATGACTGATAACATCAGTTTGTATGGTTTACATATATATATATGTAAGTTAATATTTTATTTCTATATCATATTATAATGTGAAGTTTATGTAGTAAGAAAATTTAATAATGAAGATCTATCTGCTGGGTTATGTGATGAGAGAGTAAATACTTTTGGAGCTTGAACATCAAAAGTAATATGCTGTACAATATTCCATCACTTTTTAAAATAAATAATATTATTAAATTACCCAAATTTTAAAATAAATCTTATTTCACGGAAAGAGAGTCAGACGAATTTTGGTGATTGTTTTCAATATTTCCGAGCTTCAGAAAACGCAAAGATTGCCAAAATGGCTGCTGAAAACTTCTTTCCGGGAGTGCGGGTTTGTTGATTTCTGAAGTTATTTTGCCAGATCTGATGGACGTTTTCCTTCTTGAATAAAGCCTTCTCTGCCAATTTCATGGATCTGAAAGTGTGCCCTGTTCTCCAGCTATCTCTGCAATGAAATGAGGGAATGAGGAAGGAGGTATTTAATGGAGGCTTAACAATTGTAAATATATTAATTTACCTTCTATAACTGCTACTAAAAGGGAGCTATTTCTATTCCAGACGTATTATACGGCGAGTAAGTGAAGACTTTTTACCTTTAAACTCACTACTTTCTTTGCCACCTGCTTTTCCAGCCAATTAATTTTGCTTTTTTTCATCAAAATCAAATTTTATTTTTTAATAAAATAAAATTAAAATTATAATTTATCCTAATTTAAAATTTAAAATCTATAAAATTTCTTGCTAAAATTTAAAATAATTTTTGAATTTAACTAAACAATAATATTTTACAATGCATTAAGTTTATAGTTTTGATCAATTCTAATTTATATTACTGGTATATTGAATCTTATTTTTCTATTTTACTTGACAGCATTGACGTTACTCAACTTGCGGCATTCTTGTATACCTACACCTCAAAATTATTCACATTACACAGGATAGTTAACAAACTTTTTTTTCTCCAGTTCAGTTTAGTTTTTCCCCAAAGATTAGTAGGTTTTTCACATATCATGTAATACAACACTTTTTTATAATTTTAATTGCATTACCTTAATTTAAACAGTAATAGTATTAATATTTTTTCCATTTTTAGCAAGCAGCACTCATACTGAACACAATCGATTTTTTTCAATCTTCGTTGCATTCTTACTTAACACAAGGTTAGTTACTTGGATTTTGAGTTTGGTTTGGTTATTTAATGTGATAAAGCACTTAAGGGGTTATTTTCTTAGGAACGATGCCTTCGTGGAGGAATTTCTGAGGGAAACTGGCTCATATTCACGTTACACATGAAGAAAACCACGAAAACCAACCATGCAGCCAGTTCGGTCGCCTGGGTTAGAAACCAGGGCGAACTACCAGGATTTAGCAGTCTTTAACTTCTTGGCCACTGGTGGGGCCTTCTGAATTATGGGAAACAGGAGAAGTTAATATTAAAACTAATTCATTCTAATTTTCAGTTTCATTAATTATTGTTTTGTTTATATTATTATTACTACTTTTATCTAAGTTGTGATTATGTGCCTCGTACTCAATTTAAATGAGTTTTTATTTAATTCAACAATTCCACATTTGCAAAGTTCGAGCCTGTTTGCATTTTCTAAGATTTTTAGATTTATATTTTGCTTTATGACCTGTAAATTAGATTAACTCGGTTTTACAAGTCACTAATTTTATTTTATTTAAATAAAAAAACTTCGTCTTAAACTTGCTTTTAATTATGTATCCTTTTTTCCGAATCACGTCAATAACTTTACGCTTAATTACTTCAGTTTCCCAAAAGTTCCATTTTACATCAGCCTAAAGATTCGCGTCGCGAGGGCGACTTTACTCGTGTAATAGTCGCACCCTGTTTTGAAGCAGAAAAACTCGCCAAAATTGTACAATATTGTATAGAAGATTCCCCCGCATATTGGTCGCACTTAAACTTTCACAGTGAATAACTGGCAAAAAAAGTGAGACTATTACGCGAGTAAACACAGTATTAGTTCTGTTTTATTTATTTCAATTTTGACTGTTTCTCCTCAATATATAATTTTAAACAATTTTTTATTTTTGAATTAAAATTTTAGATATGCCACATTTCCAAAATTTGGGCATATTTGGTTATTCTAAAGAGTTCAATAACACCTCTATAATTAACTTGATGACTTACATAATTTAACATTGTTTTAATTTTGTTTAACACAAGTTGCTGACTAAATTAATTTTCCTCTTGATCAAAAATATTGTTGACGTTTGGTCCTTTTTGTGTACTGTATAACTAGGGTCATGTCTGAGCAGGTTATATCTTGATGAAGTAATTCAAATATTAAATTTTATCCCTAAAACCTTTTCTTAAAATTTTCTTAAAATTCATATTTTGTTTTGCTGTATTATCATTCAATTAATTCTGTATTCTAAATTTACTCAATTAAATTTAATTTCTTGTATTGGTTATGCTTTTCATCCAGATATAATTCAGAAACATGGCTCTGTTGAAAATTCTTTCGGCTGTAAAAGTACCTGTAAGTTTTCATATGACGTTATAACAGCTTGATGCGACTAATAAGTGATTTCCCTCAAGCATTAGTTCAAAGAATTTTACACTTTATTCTCACCATGTATACCAAAAGGCAAAATTAAAGATTATTTGCTGATTTGATGATAAATTTTTAGCAGACGTTCGCATTTCTATGTAGAGCTTTTCTGCTCCTTGACAAAAACCAAAGAAATTTCAAAAGGTTTTTAAATTTGTGTGTATTTTATTTTTTTGTATTTTGCTTTTGTTTCATCCTTGATTCATTTGTTTTTGAATTATAATTTACGTGATTTTCTCTTGATATTTTTGGCACTAAGGGAAATTTCAGTTATATTTAATTTGTCTCGTTCTCAATTACTTAATTAATTTCGCAGAATTTTGCACTACTAATAATAATCAACTTTTTTCACTTACCATTTCGACAGAACACTAATCATATATAGTCTGTAAAATAAAAAGAAACGAAATTAACAACTAAAAACCTTTATGAACAATTTCACATTTAAGACATTAGTAATAATATAAAATCTTCACGAGCAATTGCACATTACCCATCGTTACATACAGTTTCCCTTCTCAAAATTCCGATTTTATCAATTTTGACTCACAAAGAACGCAAAATCAATCTAATAAAAATATGTTCTATTTCAAATTTAAATAAGTTAACAATCTATTGTAAAATATTATAAACTGTTCTTCTGCAGTGCTTAAAAATAAATCGTTGAGCGTTTTACTTATTCTCTAATAAAATTGATCTCCAATTTATTGGGGAGATCAATGACTTTTCCAGCCTTTGTCAGTTAATCGTACACTAAAAACCCGCAGTTTTACTACAAAATATTCTGAATGATTATCGTCACATTTATATTCATTTAGCAATGTGAAATCTATGTTTAATGAATTCCACAGAATTAGTCAGAATTTGGTCTAACAATTGACAGACGAATATTCAAATTAATGCTAAAATGCGCTGCTCGTTTCTTTGCTCAGATTTAATTTTCCTTATTGTAGAAGATGGTCTTTGACATAAGACAGGACAACTTTATTGCCCTATTCGCGATCATGGGATATCAATAGCCCACTGAATTTTGTATGAAAATAACCCATTTTTAATTTTACACTTAAATTCCTTGCTTAAAATGCTTATTGATGTTCCATTTCCCTATATTTCTCTTGTAGCTCCCTATATTTCTCTTGTACCGTAACATTTTTTTTTTTTTTTTTTTTTTTTTTTTTTTTTTTTTTTAGGCCGGAGAGATGAAAAATGAGCAATCGCCTTCGCCGGGAATCGAATCACGGACCTCTGGAATATCGGCCCAGCGTGCAGAACCACTACACCACAGAAGCACGCTAGGAAAGCGGGAGAAATACCTTGTATGCACTCCGTTTTATATGGCGACATTAGGTATTTAGGCAGGAGGCAAGGAAAAAAATGAGTAAACGCCTTCGCCGGGAATCGAACCACGGACCTTTGGAATACCGTCCCAGCGTGCAGAACCATTACACCACAAAGGCACACTAGTAAAGCGGGAGAAATACCTTATACTCTGTCTACGAAATTTAAACTGGAATTCACATGCGTAGCTGACCTTTATGGATAATTTTTTTGTGTACCATAAAATCGACTTAAACCAATGAGCACAAAGTTTATTCTGTACAGTTCAATTGGAATATCACATTTCTTACTTTTTATGCTACTAATAATTAATAGGAGATACTCTGAACGTTTCCTTCGAATGTATTGTACTAACTCCTAATGACTGTAGTAACTTTTTGAACACATTTTACCTTTATTTAAAGGGTTCACCAAGCTATGTCTAACAAATGATATTGACGTGGTATTTATACATATATGGTATGGAATTTTATAACATTATCGTGAGATCCAAGATGGCTCTGGCAGCGCCTCTTTTGTGAAATTAAGAAAAAATTACAAAAGTTATTTAGTAATGCAAATCTTCCAAATCTGTCTATTTACAGGATAGTATGGATTCGTGATTTTATTTTCACAGTTCCCATTATTTAGAAGAATCATATTTGGGAAAAGTAAGAACAGTCCAAAGAAATTTAAACTAACCTATCTACGTTGCTAACAAAAATTAATCAACCACTCCTTCCCTCACACAAGCTCAAAAGCTCAAAATTATTCGAAACTCCATACATGTGGCGTTCAAACTAAGTCTGTATCGTAAACTGTAGGAGGCAAGGTTAGACAAGCAGATTATAGTAACCTTGATACGAGATAAGAAACGTATTTCTTCGAATTGACTGACTGCACGACAGGGAAAATGTATTAAGCCTTTTCCCTTCTTCACCATGTTAGCCTCTACAGAAGCTGTGCTCCGTTTGCAATTTTGTTCTACACAGGATGAGGCAACTGCCCAGGAGCCTGCACTCAGTGACGCTCTTCACCAGGGTTATGCGCATTTTTTGTATTTTAATATTTTTCTGGTCCGCAGTTGACAAACTAGTTTGATAGTTATCTGTTAAAAATTAAGTTAGTATTATTTTAAAAAGATATAATAATACTTACTATGACCTCGTAATCTTCGGATATTATTTTAATTCTTTCCCTAAAAGAAAAAAAGAAATACATTTTACAGAAACAGCAGATTTACAGCACAAATTTTATAAAAAGTGTTGAAAAGTGTTAGGAGTTTAAAACGTTTTTAACTAAAATATTCCGTACTTTAAAAGATGTTTAAAAAGTCCCGTACAAAGACATCGCTCTATTTAAGCAGATGTCCTCGAAGGCTTTAAGAAACCAAACCAGAAATAAAAAATGAAATTAAAATTACTTCATTTAAAATATCCCATTCACTTAAAATATTTGAGAGAATCGAAGCCAATTTCCCTGATGAATTTTCTTGATGAATAATACTACATAGAATAATAAAAATTATGTTGCGAAATTTTTCTACTTGCTGTATTTAAGTGAAAAATTGTGGATTTTTCCTAATTAACAGCCCAGAAAAAAGAAAGATCTATAATTTGTTTGTCAGCAAGCTGTATGGTTTGTTGTTTGACTTCTAAATTAATACTGCATGGTTTTATTTTAATTAACCAGTTATCATTTTGACTTTTCTGTACTTCTGCTTTCATAGACTTCCACGAAAGTTCAAATAATCGTCAAGTTTCAAAATTTATCAAAGAACGTTTAGGGTAGCTTAGCATAGCTGATACTCTACTTTTAATTCTGCTGTTGCAATTAGTTTGCCAGATTTGCTTGCTATGTTTCTTCGCGAATAATTGGTCAAGGGAATTCAAGGCTTAATCTAGGCTTGACTAATATTATATAGTACACTGCTCGTCAAATTAAGAGACATTGAAAGAACTAAAATTTAGTTGTTGCCTATTAAAAAAAATTTAGACGAAAGTATTGTTAGATAAATTATCATGTTTGCCAATTAATTATTCTCAAAATATTTAATTTATAGTCAAATTTATAGATATTTAAAAATCGTGGAAAAAGTAATATCCGCTGTTTTGTAAAAAAATCTTTCTTTAATTGGTGTAGGATCACTTCTGACAGAAATGCAAACCTCACATTTTGATTTCATAGAATTTGTCAAAGTGTTGATCAAAGCGTGTGGAATTGCAGGGACCTTTCTAAACGTGCCCTTTCCAGATCACTGAAAGTCAGGGACGGCATACGGTGTGCTGCAGTTTGGTTGCCTAAGGCATCCCATACAGGCTCAAACGGATTCAAGTATGGTGAGTAAGCTCGTCACTCCATTCGAATGGTATCTTCTGTTTCCAAGTATTCCGGCATTAGATATGAACGATACATGTATTTCCAAAACCTCGGCCACATATCTGTGACCAGTTAGAGAAATTTCATAAAAAATATATAGCTCGGTTCGGCCATTTTTCATGATTCAACCTAAAGCCATTAAATCTCTTCAGTGGAAACGGGATCTTTCATGAATAAGTGAAGGCAAATCGCTCTCTTACATCAAAACACGTGTAGAAGGACATTCCAAGGCTGTATCTCGACTTTTCAATAAATTATACAGGATCCCGTTCCTCTTAAGGTGCGTTCACACAACGAAACGCACGTCTTGACTTGTGTCGAATGGAAAAGACAGGGACTTTTACTCTGCATCAGATAAAAGAATGTCTGGAACAACAAAAGGGTGATAAGAAGAATCTAGATGGTAGAATGGGATATTTCACTTAGCCGCCATCAGTCTGCGAAGAAAAATGTAATGAATGAAAATAGACAAGCAATGTGAAAAAAAGTTGGATTAGTAAGGTAAGTAGTAAGTACTTCACAAAATGTTAAGTTAAATAATTAACAAAATGTTAGGTAAGAATATCCGAAGGATATTTGTATTTTTCTCTAGGAAAAGGTGAGCATCGCAAAGAACTGATACAGCTGTTTGAATGTGAAACGCACGTCACCAGCAAACGGAGAAGCAAACAGGCTGCTAGATCAATGTCTTACCTGCTACTTCGTAGTCTGGTCAGAAGACTATCACACTTGGTTCGTTTTATTGTGAAATTTTGTTTATTAAGCAATTTAACAGCTTGGATAGTAAGATTAATCAGTTATTTTACGCCTAAATCAGTTTTTATGCAAATTAAGATCTATAAAATTGTTTTGGAATACAGTATATAAAGAGACTTAATACACTATCAACCATATAATAAAATCAACTTCATAATTTTTAATAGATCTTTTCCCCTCTCGCTTGGCTTGCTTGTTTATGTGTAGTATCGGAGTACGTGTAAAAGAATCTGTGTAATAAGTAAAGCATTCTATAATTTGATTATTCTCTATAGATTATTACACATACAAATTAGAAGAAAAAGGTTCATCGAATAAAAATTTTAAAGATACGCTCTTTTAAAATATTTTTAGCGTGATGTGACGTTAGCTCAAATGCTCTCGAAAGGTGTATGTGCTTGCGAATGGAAAAATAATGGAGCAAGTAGAAGTCATTGTAAGGGTAATTTAATTATCATTCAATAAATAATTGTCGTATGACCCAAGCTGTAACTGTCTCGAAGATTTTATTAACTGTGTTTTATTAAATATTCTGTTACAGTCAACTGCTTTATGTTAGAAGTTCTTATATTGTTGAAGTTAATTTTTGGTATGCTTAATATTGAGATACCTATAGAGCTGCTTGTTATACATGAAATAGGGAATATCTAATAATTAAGGAGAATTTTTATAAGGCAGAAAATTTGATTTTGTAGAAACTGTACTTTATTTAGGTTCCTTTTTTCTCTTTCATGAGAATTTGAAATTTATACAAATATATGGTTTGAGAGAATTGAGGATGCAATAAACAATGCTGATGATTTTATTCCTGTGGACCGTTACGATCTCTTTAACCAAAACTCATCCCTATGTGGTTCGACGTCATATTGAAAAGTGAGAACTAGAAGTTTTTTTTCCGCTTATGACACGTGGTAAGAACTCAGCTATTGGCTGTTCGTTCACATCGCGGGAGAAAATGCTGGACTCCAGCGAACACAGGATCACGTCCTCTGCGTAATGAAAATTTACGCCGGCGAAAAAAAAAAAAAAAAATACCGGCAACTACGTCGCGAGCGTACTCGGGTGGAACGTAACAACAATACTCCAAATGGAGATCCTATGGAAGATGGAGTTAGTTGTACACAAACTCCAGGTTTCTCTCGCGGAGTTTAATTTCGTGAAACATCCGCAGCTGTAAACATCTTATTCGAGTTTCCTGCGGCAGCCTGAAAGTTTAAAAATCAGCTAGCTTGTAATTGCTTCATAGATTACTCGAAGCGGCATTGACAGGAAAAGGTCTTCGGATACAGTTGTGGCTTTTGGCCGCCTTTGCCGGAGCTATCTACAAACAGATTCACTGATTATAATGCGACTCCCATGTCTGTGTTTGACCCCTCCCTCTAGTCTACCGCCACTTTTAACCTTCGCTGTAATGATGGCTCTGATCATAACACTAGAAACCACATTTATTTTAAACAACTCTGCATGTTCGAATTCCAACACGCATCCATTGCGTAACGTGTTACTACTAGTCTCTTAATTTGAATATTTCGTGCACTAACCTAAACGTAGAAATCTATTTTTATGTTCAGTTGCAGATAATTCACATAAATAATTACACCATTGGATACTTAGTTGAAAACTTTAATCAGTGAATATTTTTTTTTCAGGTTATCCCTTAAGTCTGAAGAACAACGCACAATAGATTAAACTTGAATTTGTATTATCTTCCCGCAAATTAGTTTGTTTGGAGTTTTGTTCCTGTTAATTTTCAGTTCATGTAACTATCAGGTTGACGTATTAACAAATACTTTTATTTAAATTTTACTTCGGTTGTGCTATTTTTAGAAAAGAAGCTAGATGGGACGAAAAGTCATCCGACAGTTTTCTACGGTTACTTTCGTAAACTTTGCATTTAATAGCGTAATTTTATAAAGTTGCTTTATAGAAAATTTCTGTTAAAGGCAACAGATCATTTTGTAAAATTTTAAGTAACTGAATACTAAAAAGCTAAGACATAGAACTATTCTGAAGATGAAATGAACAATCACGTTGAAATGTTTGCAGTATTCATTTAGTCAAAGGACCTGGCATAATGGTGCAGAAAAATAAGACTTTAAATAAAAATTTCTAAGGTATTTGTAAATATAGGATATCCATTAATTTTTGAAAATTTAATATTTGCTCGTAACTAAAGTAAGCAGATTTTTGCATTAACGCAACGTAATGTTTCCGATAAATATTCCACGTGCAAATTTTACCACTCTTTGTTGTGTTCACGTTTGGATAGGGTAGCCACTGAGAGCTAAAGTTTTGAAGATTTCACAACTTCTTCAATTTCAGTCTTCCTTGCAGGTTATACACAATACTGTTGAGATTAAAATGGCTATGTATGATGTTCGCCAGCAAGTAAAACTCATCGAATTGATCAGTTATTCAAACTCAGAGAAAATACCTGCAACTTTTTAATGGCAGAGCGTCTCCTGGCAATAGCATAAGTCAGAACCTAATCGCTCGATTTGAAAGAACTGAATCAACCTGCGATCTTCCGTGAACAGGTCTTAAGCGTATTGTGTCCACTGATGCGGCAATGATCTTTCATTGGATTAGAAAAATTCAGTGGGTTTACTCGTTGTAGGACATCATACGTAGCCATTTTAATCTTCAAGGGATGTTCTAGAACCTATAGATAAAGAAAATTCAAAAGGAATGAAAACAAACAAGATCTGAATTTTTCAAACCCTTCAATTATTTAGTGGCTACCCTATATAACATTCTCGTAGCACAACAAATGATTCTACAAATGCTTTAAGAGCTTCGCGTTTACCACATTTTGCCTTTTAAGTTTGATGGGTAGATAATTAAGCAGAATGCATACTTTTGCATTTGTTTAATTTTCTCCTTCAGACTTTACTTCAATAAGAAAGAAGATATCCTTAAACCTAAGGAACCAATTAAGAGAAGGCTGCAATAGCAAGGACTTAATGACTTTTAATTTGCTATTCCTAAACTGCTTTACACTGCATTTATTACGCTGGTTTTTCTAAATAACTTACTCTGTATTTTACTTTCATAGCCCGCAAACTCTAAAATAAAATATTTTCAAGAAGAAGCTAATAAATGAAAATATATATATATATATATATATATATATATATAAACTAATCTCATGGAGAGAATTAGTCATTTTACTCGGCGCGTGTAAGTAACTGCAAAAGTTATGACGAATCTACTTACAATGCAAGTAGTTTAGCACGTCGAATGCTCCTCCCGATATTGAATACGCTCGTTAGCTGTTCGTCCCTAGGAAAGAGGGGAAGAAAAGGAAAAAGAAATGGTTATACGTTGCACATTTAATGCAGAGGAAAATCGACAGCATTTTTTAAAAATAGCCTAGAAGTAAAATGTTTACAATATATGATACATTATGTGATATATAGACATAGACACACATGCGATTAATCACATGTAAATAAGAAACGTATTCAAAGCACTACTGGAGGCACACATATTTCCACACGTACCTCCTTTATGGTCTGAAATAAATTCTACTGATCAGAAGCTCTTATAACGCACAGTTTTCTCCTCTTCCAATTTCTTCTTTTTCGTATTTAAGCAGTGCTTTTTCTCCTACATAACTTTCACCGATAACTCACTTTTCGTTACTCTGAAAGTTCTTAAGCTTATAGTCTGATATTTAATTAGTTTAGATTTATGAAACAAGCGGCTTGGGTATATCATATTGAAATAAATTAATCTTTTAAGTGAATATAATGGGGAAATATATATTTAAGGGAATTACTTTTTAAAAATTTGCGTTGCTTTCAAATGGCGGGAAGAATTTCGTTAAATAGACACTAATGGAAAATGAAATCCAAACACAAAGAGAAATCAGTTTAAAGGAATGAAATACAGGCAAAGCATTTGTCTACTTAACATATTTATTTACGCGCAACTGTAATAGCGGTTAGTGATTCTGACTACCGTACCGAAGGGCCCAAGTTCGAATTCTGGAGAAGGCATGGATATTTGTAAAGGTATAGTATCTGTGCGGTATGGAGGTATTCTAAATATGCGGCGAGCCGAAAGTCCTCTCTTAGGGCTGGTGATAGTGGCGACTGTATTGCCTCGTACAGATGTCGTATATTATTTTTTTGTATGGTGTTCCATGCTTGTTGTACTTAATCAGTCAAATAAGTATCGGTCCGTGCTGGCAGTGGATGACCAGAGCAGTAACCAGTTTTCTTTCAAGGTGGGAGGATAACAACAAGAGTGCTTCTGCTGTGACAAGAAATTGCTCCTCACAGCATAACTCCTCGTACAACTGCAGGCAAGAGGAGTCATGTATCTACACCGCCAGATAGCCTGGTCCCAAACACTCATCTGCTCTTCTGACCAACATACGGCCATCACTAGTATATATATATTAAAAAAAAAAAGCCTTTTATCCGAGAACATAACAGTTCCACTCCGCTCACCAGTGATCTCTCGCTTAACACCACCGAAGTCGTAGGTCGCGGTGATTTGGAGTTAGTGGTACGGGGCGCATGGCTCGGAGCTGCCTGTCGAATAATCGATTTGTTATCATTCGCTGGGTCAATATAGTGCCACAGACGAGTGTCGAATAGGGCGGTGTTCCCTCTGCCGGCACGTGTGCGGCCGGACTCGGGCCTTCTTCAAACAATACATTTTTGTGACCATTGCTGTCAGGACTCATGCAAAGTGGATACATCCCTGCCACGTTTTTCGGCAATATCTCGAAGAAAAAAAACCATTCTCACAGTTCTCGTACATGGTCTCGTTCAAGCTCAGTAAGTTGCCGATACTGCCTTCTTCGTCTCTGTAGAGGCATTCTTTACTCAGATCTTGCTCACAAAGCCCAATTCGGGCTATAAATAAGTCACACTGTAAGGTTTATCCTACGTTTTCTAACAGTTAATTTTTAGTTAAAGTTACTTTCCTGTGCATTCTTAATGCCAGCTTACAACTTCCGGCCAGAAAATTTTCAGAATCGCGGTCAAATGCAAATGAGGAGGAGACGTATTTAACTTTGAAGTTCTATTGACTTAGAGAGCCAGATATTCTGAGGAGCGCGCTTTCGCCTTTTAGGCTACTCTCTCTCTTAAGCTATTATTACGTTCGTCCGTACTTTAGGACCTTGATAGCTTCGCCGTTAGTTAGCGTTAAGGGTATAAGATATTTCTCCCACTTTCCTAGCGAGCCTTCGTGATGTAGTGGTTCAGCACACTGAGCCGGTATTCAGAGGTCCGTGGTTCGATTCCCGGCGAAGGCGGTTGCATATTTTTCATCTCCCTGGCTTCCAAAAAATCCTAATGACTTTACAATTGGCGCCCGAACTAAAAGGGTTGTGGATGATGATTCTCCACACCCAGGATTTGGCGACTAGGTCCCCTAAAACCCTAGTCGCCCTTTAAAAAGGGGAGTATATAAGGTATTTATCCCACTTTCCTAGCGAGCCTTCGTGGTGTAGTGGTTCTGCACACTGAGCCGGTATTCAGAGGTCCGTGGTTCGATTCCCAGCGAAGGCGGTTGCATATTTTTCATCTCTCTGGCTTCCAAAAAATCCTAATGACTCTACAAGGGGCCAACTCCGTTAGAATCTTGATAGCTTCGGCTACATCTTTTTAGTTAAATTTAGTAAAGAGTTACTTCTTGGTATTCCTGAGTTCAAGCCCAAGTGGAGGCTTTGTTGTAAACTCGACAGTTAAATTTATTTTGAATAATAAAGGGTAATTAACCCTTCTTACGTTTACATTTCTATCTCTCTGAACTATGCAATTATTCGCTTACCAGTTCTTTAAGTTCCACACAGGTAGCAGTAACTCAAAGGATGGAATCTTACAACACGAATCACGTATTTGAAGCAAATGTGATTTGTGTGTTCATAGTAGCTTTACTGGCGTCACACTTATTCGTCTAGAGCTAAATCTGATTATCTCTCGGATCATCATCTTTCAGATGGGAAAACACGCCTCCCAAATTTCGTTTATCTAGAGCAACTCTTTCTTGGTGTTGGGATTTCATTTTCCATCAGTGTAGTTGAACTACCACTTTTAAATAATAATTTAAATAAACTACTTTATTTTAAAGTTATTTTTCTTGATTACTGGGCTTATCGTATCAAGCTTTATTTATCCAAGTGTTAATCCAAGGTAGAAAACTAGAAAGCCTCGGATTCTATTTCCGGTGAGGATATTGGTTTTACAACTCTACTTCTCCAAAAGAGCTAATGATTCTACAGTGATACCAAGATTTGTCACCTGGGTTACCATTGCCAATTGATACAATTTGTGTTATATGAATTCATAAACACAGTAGCATTACGAATAGTTCAAATTCGCTTTGCAAATAAGAAAATTACTTCCAAAGTCCATATATGATAGATTCAGCAGGAATTACTAGCATATAGTATGCATGCACATCTGTAAAATGGAAAAATAAGAACGAAGTTCGAGCAATGACTTACGTTACGATCCAATTATTTCACTAACCTCACTTCTCCACTGTCAAAATAAAGGGGAAAATGGAATCAGATTCTCCCTTAGAAAATATTCTGATAATATTATAGAGAAAACACACTTATCTGACCGGAAAGGAAGTTCATATAAATCAAGTTAACATAACCGCCGAAGTAATTTTACAATTATATATACCATTGCCAGCTCTTAGCTACTCTTCAACAAAGAATAAACAGATTTCGCCGCTATAATGCATTTTACAATTTGTGAAACAATTTATGACACCCTGAAAAGAAAATTTTAAAAAGGTGCAAATGGAAGAGCTGTACTCGACATGTTTCAAAGTTAATATAGGCTATGATAATATTAACGACTACTATTCTGTAAAATACGTTGCTCAAAGAGGGACATTTTGGATTCTTAAGACGAAGAGGTTATTAAAAGAATCGTAAAGAAACGTGTTGTGAAACTGTGCATACTATCTTTGAGCTAAGAATATCTTTGTTCCGTATTGCTTCTAAGCCTATAACTATTTTATAACTAATTATTTTATAACATCATTAAGTTTTTATTAGTACTTTACTATTACGAAGCAAATACAGCGTAATAAAGGCCAATAATCTTGATACGAAAGACACGTGATTAAAACTCGAACTAACAGTTCCTGATATATGTAGAAAATATTATTATTTACTGTAAGCAAATATAACTTACATACTTATTTTATTTACTGTTTTACTGCGCAGGTGCTTGAATAAGGAATAAGCAATAGCAAAAATTTTCAACTTTCTACAGAAATTACAAAGGAACATTTACTTACAGATTCAGGGGTTCAGTTTTAATTTCTGTCTTCGTTTGCTCTTGACTGCTGATTTCGTGGGAGCTATAGAAAACTTGGAGTAAGTAAAGATGACTGAATTTATTATTGCAAGTAGTTATGCAAGAAATATTAGCTAGGAAAATTAAGTTATGTAACAGTAAAAGATTTTAAGAAAGGTAGTTGATATTATAAATGAATCTTTAAATCATATACTGAAGTTTAAATTTATAAAAGAATTTTTACATATACTAAAATTCAGTTTCTGAACTATAAAAAATATTTGAAGGTAAGTTACACAGACATACATTTATTTTTTTTTCAAAACCTTTTACTTGTTTTCGAGTGTCGTGAAGAAATTTATAATGTTCCCTGGAATTACTCCTCCGGAATAATGATTTAATGTCTCATCTAACATCTCAAATATTTTAACGTACGATCTCAACACGTGAGTAAACAAAGATGCGGAAGTCAAAAAAGTACTTCATAATGCAGTTGCACTTAAATTTGATAAAACCATTCAGAATAGTTATGCAATTCATAAAAAAGTATTAATAAATAATTTTGAATGTAATAGAAACGTTTAAACTTGCATTACCAACATGAGAACTATGCCTCAAATCCACATTTGATAAGAAACGTTTTATAGGTATACTTAATAACTAGAACGGAGGAGACATAAGTCTTAAATGGAAGTATGAAAGACAAGTTCAGATTTTGACTATCGAAGCAACATTTTCACTAAAACCCTTCTCTCCGAAACATATAAAATGAATAAAAAAAAAAAAAAAAAATACTGAAGCAGATTCTCTCTTTGGAAATATTCCTATTATGGGCAAATGTTTTTATCTGATAGAAATTAAGCTTATATGACATCAAGAAAAAGGCTCAGGTGTGATGTAGCAAATTTATAAACATTTTATGACTACAATTATGACTTCATGGCAACTCTTCGCAAGCAAATAAACAGATCCCATTTTTGTAGTATATTTCGAGACTTAAGAAAACTTTAATGGTGCCAAGAAAGGAAAACTTAACAGCTGCAATAAACATGGTCGAAAAAAACGGTTTGCGGTAATTTGAAAGACATTTTCTAAGAAAAGTTGTTATTCCAAGATGAAAGTTTTGGAGTCCTAGACCAAAAAGGGAAGGAAAATAATTGTAATGAAAGCTATTCGCAAACTGCGCAAGGTCTTTAAGATTATATTGTTTCGTATAATTTATAAATTCGTTATTTTTTAATAACTTAAATTATCCAACTTTTATTAGTATTTTACCAAGCAAATGCAAATATAACCAGTAAAAGTAAAGGCCAATATCTTTGAAAACAAAGACAGAAGAAGAAAA